CTGTCCCCAGCTGCTGTATTTCTGGCTTTGGAAGCTGCTGCTCTCTGGTGTCCCACCGGTTTCCAAGTGTCTACCTATGCCAGCCCCAGCCTTCCAACTGCTGTGAGGTGGAGCTCTCTGGATGTTCCAGTTGCTGCCATAGTTTTGGGGCTACAGCTGGTCTGCAACCTTGGTTGGAGCAAAAGAGCCACAGCCAAAGAACAGTCTGGAGTTGACATCACTTCTCACTCTCGGTTTTATTCGTCCCTCTCCTCCTGAATTAAGCTGCCTAGATGTGTACATGATGGATTCCTCTTTTTCCTGAAAATCTCACACTTCCTGGCCTTAGCTCTGGTCCTAGGTCAAGAAGACCTGAATGCTGGAGAAAACTCTACTTCCCAAAGCCTTATCAGTGTGCACAAATAAAGCTTATCTTTCCCGGCACCCAAAACTAATTAGAGTTTGTTGATTTCCCCCATCCTCAGCTTTGAGGAGCTTCCAGGAACCTGGATTCCTTAAGCAGATTCCCACAAATAGCCACCAGATGGGAAATTCCCTCTAGGTAGACCCTGGGTCTGAGCAGCCTGAGAGAACTGTGAAAAAAATATCCAGAGGGGAATAAGAAGGGGATGTTCCCAAAGTATCAGTGACCCTGTTCCACTGCTATTGCCACATTTGCCACCATCACTGAAATTTCTTCCTACTCATAAAGGACACGATACTTCGCAGTCCCAGAACTTAGCCCCAGATCATTTTTATTTGGGGGAATCACATGCTTAAGAAGGAAATGCCACAGGGGTACATGTAGTTTTCAGATCTCAGTTCAAAAAGCCATGAACAACGCTCTCCTTGAGTGAATCCTCCTGACTGAGTCCCTCACGCCTTCTCTTCACACATGCGCCAGAATCTGGTGGGAATGTACACCACGGTCCAGTGAGCATAATACCCCCGAGAGACATTTGGGCCTTGGTGTTGCTATCCACCCTATGTGGTTTCTTTTCCTCCTCTGTTTAATGGGACAAATGCCATGGGTTGGGGGGCAAGTTCTCAAGGTACTTTTTCCAACCCAACAGTGGGCCATAGGCAACAGCAATGCTCTGCCCATCCTTCAGGGCTATGGTTCTTTTTTAAAATTTTTATCTTATATTGGAGCATAGTCGATTAACAATGTTGCATTAGTTTCAGGTGTACAGCAAAGTGATTCAGTTATACATGTATCTCTTCTTTTTCAAATTCTTTTTCTATTTAGGTTATTACAGAATATTGAGCAGAGTCCCCTGTGCTCTACAGTAGGCCCTTGTTGGTTATCTATTTTAAATATAGCGGTGTGTACATGTCAATCCCAAATTCCCAATCTATCCCTCCCCCCTCCTCCCCCTGCCCCGGTAACCATAAATTCGTTCTCTAAGTCTGTGAGTCTGTTTCTGTTTTGTAAATAAGTTCATTTGTATCATTTTTTTAGATTCTGCATATAAGCGATATCATATGATATTTGTCTTCTTCTGTCTGACTTACTTCACTCTGTATGATAATCTCCAGATCCACTCATATTGCTGCAAATGGCATTATTTCATTCTTTTTTATGGCTGAGTAATATTCCATTGTATATAGGTACCACATCCTCTTTATCCATTCATCTGTCAATGGACATTTAGGTTGCTTCCATGTCTTGGCTATTGTAAACAGTGTTGCAATGGACACTGGGGTGCATGTATCCTTTCGAACCATGTTTTTCTCCAGATATATGCCAGGAGTGGGATTGCTGGATCATATGGTAGCTCTGTTTTTAGTTTTTTTGAGAAACCTCCATACTGTTCTCCATAGTGGCTGTACCAATTTACATACCTCCCAACAGTGTAAGAGGATTCCAGTTCTTCCACACCCTCTCCAGCATTTACTGTTTGTAGATTTTTTGATGATGGTCATTCTGACTGGTGTGAGGTGATACCTTATTGTAGTTTTGATTTGCATTTCTCTAATAATTAGTGATGTTGAGCACAAAAGCATAATATTAAAATGGCCAAGACAATTCTAAAAACCAGGAGTAATTTGCAGGGACTAGCTCTACCAGATATTATATATTTATAATATATTATGAAGCTGTTATATAGATAGTGTGGTACTAGACCATGAATATACAGACAGATCAATAGGACTCAATGGGAAGCTCAGAGCTGGGACCAAATATATAGGGGAAATTAATTAAATATCAGGTAAATTGCATAACTGGGCAGTTTCCAGAAAAAGAAATATTATGGCTCCCAAGCATAATGAAAGAAAATTGAGCTGACTTACTAAGAAAAACTCAAACCTACTCTGAAATATCAGTTTTAACTTATCAGGTTGATAGAGCACAATTAGTTTAATAATGAATTCATTGTGTGAGTTTGTGGGGAAATATGCAGTTTTACACATTGTAAGGAATGATGTAAATTGGTGAAACATCCATGGAAGAAAAATTGACAACGTCTCTCAGTTTTATCTTTTGAGGAAGCAACTGCACTTAGGGAAATGTATGCTATACCCATTCTCCCCGAGGCACGATGTATGTACAGTGTGTCACCACAGCATTGTTTGCAAGAGCTCAAATTGGGAATTCCCATGTGTCTCTAGATTATTACTCAGACAGCAAACTGAATGAAGATACTCTTTATGTACCGAAATGGAATGATCCCCAACATGAGAAAAAGCAGTGAGCAAAACAATGTGGAGTTTCTCTTATTTTGTTAAAAGAAGGAAAGGTATACTTGTTTGTGTGTGGCTTTTAGCATATAAAATATTCCTGGAAAGATATTTGAGAAACTGATTGCTATTGGATGAAGGGATTGGAGTAGCAGGGGGAAATTGCACTGTGTATCCTTTTTACCTTTTGGGTTTCAAACCAAATAAATATATGATAATAATGGATAATATCAAAGGAGAAGTACAGGAAGCTGGGCCTCAGGGACCTGAACCCAGAAGTGAGAGACCACAAGGATTTGCTCCATTACAGAGCAAACTGGCCTCAATTTTCTCATCACCAATAAATTTAGCTCCTATAACTAAAGAAGATGGTCATAATCATCCCTAATTTTGATGACAGAGGCAAAAATAAATAAATAAATAGGAGGTAGGAGTGGGGCTGTGAAGGGACACATTCTGTTAGTTTGGATGATGTTTGGAGAACAGGCTTTAAAAACAGGTTTCTCACCTTGTGCAAATGAAGTTCGGAGTTATAGCAGAGAACACAGCCCACACACAAAAAAGTAACTAACAATCAGCATTCATGCATTCAACCAACATTGTTTATTCCCTATATGTCAGAGACTATTCTAGAAGCTTGAGGTGAGTGCTTGCGAAAAAAAAAAAAACTTTGCCCATTTGGAGGTGACATTTTGGTGAGAGAAGAAAGACAATAGACAAAAACAGAGCAAAGAAATTATACGTAGAGTATATTGTACGTATATAAAAAGTGTTACCTAGGAAAAGAAAGTAGAACTGTATAAAGGTGATTGGAGTGAGGGAAAGAGTAGCAGATTGTAATTTTAATTAATTAATTAAAATTAATTAATTGGGGGTATAGTTGTTTTACAATGTCGTGTTAGTTTCTACTGTACAGTGAAGTGGAGTTCCCTGTGTATACAGCAGGTTCTTATTAGTTATACATATTAGTGTATACATGTCAATCTCAGTCTCCCAATTCATCCCACCCCTGACCTCCACCCCTGCTTTCCATATGTCCATATGTTTGTTCTCTACATCCGTGTCTCTATTGGCAGATAGTAATTTTAAATAGGAAGATGAGGGTGTAATATCTCACTTATAAAGCCACATTTAAGCAAAGACTTGAAGGAAGCAAGGGAGTTAGTGATGAAGATCTCTTGGGGAGACTATTCCAGCCAGTACAAGCAAAGGGCCCTAGGTGGAGGGGTGTGGTGTTTATGCTGAGCTAGAAATGAATAAAATAGAGTCCTTACCCCCACAAAGGATCCTTGTTTCTCCAATGTTTAGAACCCCTCAGTGGCTCTCATTGTCCTCAGGTTAAATCCAAACCCTTTCCCATGGCGTATAAGGCCCTCATCGGTACAGCGTCCACCCTTTCTCCTTTCTCCCCGCTGTGCTGCAGCCACACCGAGCTTCTCCCCTACACAGGACACCTCCATGTCCCACTCTCTATCTCCCGTTGCCACCCAATCCCTGCTTAAACATCACTCTTTCCGGAAAGCATGCCAGACCCCAAACCCGACCCCATGTGCTCCCTTGGCAACCTGTGCTTCCCCTGCCATCATTCTCATCACACAGTACTGACGCCGTCTACTGTCTCTACACCGAATTAAAAGAGCTTTGAGAATGTCAGCTATTGAGCTTGTACACTTCATGTTCAGGATGGAGCCTGGTAGACAGTAGACACTCAGTACATATGTGTGTGTTAGGCTTATGTCTTAGGTAATCGAACCATTATGTTTTTTTTTAACATCTTTATTGGAGTATAATTGCTTTACAATGGTGTGTTAGTTTCTGCTTTATAACAAAGTGAATCAGTTATACATATAATATGTTCCCATATCTCTTCCCTCTTGTGTCTCCCTCCCTCCCACCCTCACTATCCCACCCCTCTAGGTGGTCACAAACCACCGAGCTGATCTCCCTGTGCTATGCGGCTGCTTCCCACTAGCTATCTATTTTACATTTGGTAGTATATATATGTCCATGCTACTCTCTCACTTCATCCCAGCTTACCCTTCCCCCTCCCCATGTCCTCAAGTCCATTCTCTAGTAGGTCTGTGTCTTTACTCCCATCTTGCCCCTAGGTTCTTCGTGACCTTTTTTTTTTTTTTTTTTTTTTTTTTTTTNTTCTTCGTGACCTTTTTTTTTTTTTTTTTTTTTTTAGATTCCATATATATGTGTTAGCATACGGTATTTGTTTTTCTCTTTCTGATTTCAGAAAGTTTCACTGATCTGATTTCAGATCAGTGAATCTGATCTGATTCACTCTGTATGACAGACTCTAGGTCCATCCACCTCACTACAAATAACTCATTATGGGTTTACTCGAGAGCTGCCTGTGCCCTTCAGGAGAGAAGAAACCAAGAGGAACCCTACTATCCAGCCAGCAGGGGGTGCTGGTGAGTCAGTCACAGTCACAGAATATTGGGGAGAGAGAATGACAAGGTCACAGAGGCTCAGAACCTCGGAAGCTTGGCATCCGGAGGGAACAGAAACCATTTGACTTCTGATAGTCATGGATTCACTAGGCTGCTGAGGGAGCGGCATATCTGCTGCCAGTCCAGGGAAGACAGTTTTTTGGAAGCCAAGCATGAGAACCACGAATTGAAAAGAGACAAAAAAGAAGTGTCCAGAGCAGGTAACCCGGAAAAAAACTTGTCGATGGGTCCTGCCTTCATGGCCGTCCATGCATCCGTTCATTCATTCCTTAGTGCTGAAGTCCACATAATGGCACACACTGTGTTAAGCGCTGAGAGCAGTGGCGAGCAGGACAGCAAGGACGCCTGTGCCCGTGAAACTAACAGACTAGAGGGGAAGCCGGACAGTTAGGGAAATCATGATAAGAATGTAGCGAGAAGTGTAGGGAGCACCAAGAGCTTATACCAGGGCCACAAACCCTACGGGTCAGTGTTGTTTTCCTCAAGTGATGTGTAAGCTGAGACTTCAGGTTTGAGTAATATTTAGTGAGGGTGTGGGGATAGGTGTTCTAGGCCATGGGAAGAGCAGTACAAAGATCCAGACAGAGGCCAGAAGAATTTAGCAGGGATCTGCTCTGGGCCAGTCTGATGACATGGAAGGAACAGTGGCTAGAGATGAGGCTGGGCTGCTGGGCAGAGGTCAAGGAGAGGGCAGTGAGACAAAGGAGAGAGCACTGGCTCAGAACACATGGGACCTGAGGGCATTGTCCTTTCCCTCCCTGTGCTTTAGTGCACAGGACTGATTCCTAAGATGCTCTCCATCTTTGATGCAGCACCCCACCCCCAATCGGGACCTGTTCCCGGGACCTGCCCAAAGGGAACGTGCTGGGAGGGGATGTCTGGAAGCAGCCAGGTGAACCCCTGGATGGGAGCTCTGGGTACCCTCTGGCCACTGGGATGAGAACTGCTCCTGTAGAAACAGCCCAGCCTGGACTTGGAAGGATGGAGTCTGACATGCTGGGCTTCCTGGTGGACAGGAGGCTCCCAACTGTCAGTCCAGGGGCACTGGCTACAGAGGGATAAAGGTAAACCACAGACACAGAGGAGGAAAGAAAGAGAGAATGGAAAACAGTGACAGAGAGAGACAGAGAGGCAGGGAGAAGAAATTGTAAAGGAAGCAAAACATGCACAGAGAAAAGCAACAAAAAATTTTAAAGGGCTCACTGTCTACTCTCCCACTTCCCACCTCCCTCCCACCCCCACCTTCTTCTCTACCCTGGTCTCAGGTCTGACCCCCTTATGGGACAGATTCTGACAACACGGAGACTGCGCCAGATACCAGGCTCCTTGCACACGCTCACGTGCGTGTGCGCACACACGCACATGCACAAGCTCAGCCCCCAGGGCTCCAGGGAGCCCAAGTGCACAGACTTTCTGTCAAACAGCTTCAAAGACCATGGAGGAGGCACCGAGCAAGGCTCCTATGGCCCTTAACTCTTCCCTCTTTTTCCCCATTTTCCTGCTGATGTCTGAGTTCTATTTTCATATCTGTGTGTCTCCTTTTGCCCTGCTTCTCCTTCCTCCTCCATCCCAGGCAAGTCAGGGCATTGACAGGGCAGGACTCTGCCACCTCAGCCTCTCTGCAGCGTCTCTTGACCTGGAGGGAGGGACTGTGTCACCTGTGCCCTACTCCCACCCCTTAGGAGTCCTGGTCCAGTGCCGTGTGCCTAAAACTGAGCAGAGACCTCTTCCTGGATGACAGAATTAATTCCTGAATAACTGGCAGGCATAGAGTCACAACTGAATTGAGGTCAACACCCTACCCCACAAGTCACTTTTGCCTCTCAGGTGAGAACCTGTCCCTGACCCAGCTGAGGCTGCAGCCAGACTGCCAGGGACCTGGGAGTATGGAGAGTGCAGACCCATGGTAGGGACCCCGTGAGGTGACCCTTCTCAGATTTCTTTCCCTCCTGCTGCTGTAGCCCAGGAGATGCACAGCCTAGTGGACCCCAAAGGGTAGTCACCCCAGTCTGTCCTTAGCCAGCAGCAAGCAGCACAGTGACATCCTTCTCAGGCTCATGGCAGTGGCTCCTTCCCCCAGAGAAACCCCACGATGAGGCTCTGGTGGTTCTGAAAGTTGAGGTGGAGAGAGGCTGGGCAGGGCAGAGGTGTCAGCCACGCCCAGCTCAGTGGGGCCCAGCTTGCACACCCGAGCTGAGTGAGGTGGATCCCCAGAAGCAAGGGCTGAGCTATGGGCCTGACACCCATCATCCGAGACAGCCGAAGCCCTGGGTCTACAGCAAAGTGGGTCATCGGACAGGTTTCCTCTTACCTAATGTAAGAATGTTACCTCTTACCTAATGTAAGAATCCCGCACACCTTCCGGGAACCAGATCTGCCTTCAGTGGCAAAAAGGGGATGGTAAGGCTTTCCGTCCCACCCAGGGAACCCTCAGGGAGCCTTTGGTGTGAGGGGGAGTTGTAACTCCTGTCCCCAGGAGTCCCCCCATCCTCACGACACAGAGAAAAGAACAAAAAGATGAGAGCCATGGCTTTCTCAGCACCGGATGGAGTATTTGGAGTAGGGCTGGGAGGGAGTGGTGGATGGCAGGGCAGGGGTGGGATAGAGGACGGGGAAGAATCCACTGGCAGGAGGGGCTGAGGCCGGAACAGAAGCAATCTCCTTAGGAGTTATTCACACAGACTCCAATTTTAAAGCCTGATGAACAAATACAATGAAATCTGTTTGGTCCAGCCACGCAGCCATGGTCATAAACTTCAAGTTCTTCCTACCTTGTTCTTGTGCTTCTGCGTGGACACACACACACACACACACACTCACACACAGGTGGGTGCACACATGCACACACACAGATACACAAGTGTGTGTGCCTAGTGGAAAGCCCACGGCAGTAACTGGTTCAGTTTAAAAAAACAGTTTGGAAGGACTTCCCTGGTGGTCCAGTGGTTAGGACTCTGCACTTCCACTGCAGGGGGTCTGGGTTTGATCCCTTGTCGGGGAACTATGATCCCACAAACTACGCAGTTGAAAAAATTTTAAAAAATCAAAAAAAAAAAAGAAAAAACATTTTCGGCCAGTGGTTTATCTGTGGGTTCTGGAGGCTGGAGGGTGGTGGCAACTTGATCTCAGCAGTTGTCACTTGAACTCCCACACACATCCTCCTCCACCCGGGTGACAGGCTCTGACAGACCTGGCACCTCCCTGATGTGGGTGTGTGGACTTGTGGGATGAGCCCCCAGCCGGGGTGCTTGCTCATTTCTTCTCCTCCACGTCTCGCCCTGGGCTAGAAGACACCCCAAGTCCCTCTGCCTGCTGACTCTGGGCCACTTCTAGATACTCTGTCCTGCTCTGGGACTTCCCAGTGGCTTTCGTCCACGTGCCATAAGAGGGACTGGGCAGAAACCATAGCGGTGCTGCCCTAGGGGCCATATATTGAGTCCTAGGCGTATGGACTTAAGGAGAACTTTCCTGGATTTCCTGGGTGGGAGGTAGGTGGGTTGATAAGGAGCAAAGAAAGAGTTGTTTGGGGTTTTCCTACTCCTAGAAGAATCGGGAGATTACAGAAGCCCTGAATGGTTGAATTAGAGGACATCTACAAGGTCCAGTTGTCTCCTCTTTACCCCTAACGCTGCCCCCACACAAAGGAAGAGATAAAGGTCAGAGAGGTGAAGAGAGCTGCCCCGCCCCCTGGCTCAGGAGTCATAGAACCAGACCTGGAACTCGGTCCTCCATGCCAAGAGCAGTGACCTTTCTGTCTCCTTTGCTGGAAACGCCCCCAAGGCAGACACTTCCTACGTGCTGAGGGGCGTGGGGGGGGATGATGCTTTCAGGAAGGGCAAGACAAAAGATCCATCTGTCTCAAGGTAGTCGGTCACCCTAGAAAGAGTCCTGTTGCACCTGGGTCCCTGGGTACCACGTTGGACACCAGACCAAGCACATGCTCTGGGTTGGGATGGAACCTGACTTGAATCCACTTACTAGCAACTGAGGTAGATCTCTGAACTCCAATCACACTCATAGGTAAGATGGGGTGAAAACACCAACTTCTCAGGCTGGCTGTAACCATTCATGAGATGAAGTTTTCGAAGTGCCTGCCACTGGACTCAGACTCGGCTGCCAAGGGTCATACTCTTCCTCATTAGCTAAGAGACCTTAGGCAAAATTCTTACGTATTCCGGTCTTTCCTTTTCTATCTGGAAAATGGTTCCCTAGTGAGGAACCAGCACACTGACCCATATGAAGGCACAGAACTGTGGGACTGGGTTCCCTCTGAACATCCAGCCTTGCTTTCCCAGCGCTGGTCTGTGTCATCACTCTGAAGATGGATGTATCTGGGGGTCAAAGAAGGGGGGAGTGAATGCAGGCAGCCAGCTTTCCCTCTGAAAATGTTCTTTTTGTTCTAGGACCTCCAAAACTTGAGAAGAGGTGTGACCAACCAAAGTGCAACCCAAGCTGCCCACCAAAATGAAACCCATGCTGCCCGCCGAAGACCCCGTGTTACATTCAGCCCACGTGCTGCTGTTTGGAGCCCAAGGCTGAGTGCACGTGCCTTAATAAGGAGACTGATCCCACTGCACCAAAAACTCAGAACAATAACTCCCTAAGCCAACAGCAGTCCCAAAATCCAAAACTGGTGCCCAAATCAGGTCCCCAGGGGCAGAAGCAGCCAAACAAGTAGACTGTCACAAACAAGTGGACGGTGCCATGCCCACCACCTGGTAGAGTCAGGCTAGACCGACTTTTAGAAAAGCTGATTCTCATTGACCACCAATTCCTCCCAACCAGAAGCCCCTATTTCCCTTCATATCCTCCCAACCTAGGGAGGCCCCAACTGGAAATGGAAGGTTGAAGAGGCTAGAAGCATCTTGCCTAGCGATCCTGATATTAGATAGCACAAAAATAAAAGAGCAATACAAAATTGTCTCTGTTTCCTCCTTTACCTATGAAACCATCTCCCTTGT